CGAAGGGACGACTTACAGAGTTCTGGGCAGGATGAAAGGACACTGCTCACCCTGGTGCTGGCAACAGCAGGGAGCTGCTACCTCCCCTGGGCCTGACGGGATGAAGGGACAGAGTCACTACCAGAGCCCCAGATGGTAGCTGTAGGGAAAGAGCTACCAGCAGGGGCTGTGGCCTTCAGCAGACTGCAGCTCCAGCCAAAGTGGCCTGGCCAGGAGGGATCCCAGGTGATAAATATCTCACCTCACTTTCTGCCTTGTTTTCTGATCTCCCGCTGGTACTTCCCACTGGCTGAACCCAATTAGAAGCCCGAGGGCAAGGCACCCATTGATGTAGTCCCAGCAGGTCAGCCTCTCCAGGGCCAGAGCTGGGTGCAAAGGGGCAGGGAGTGGTCCTGGACACACAAAGGAAGAGATCAGGGCAGGTTTCTTTCTCCCCATCCTTTCCTAGTTTCCGGCCACTGGGATGTAGGGCGCTCTCCCTGGCTGGTCCATTAAATGCGTTCTTTTTCGCCTGCTGACTGTGGCAGAAGAAGCCTCACCCGCCAACCCCTGGGCTAGACCTTGGTACGTAGAGATAAGACCCGAATTCTGCTCTCCTGGAGCTCAGCGCGATTCTCCTCCCAGCAGAGGGCTCCAGCGGTGGGATTAGCCAGATGAGGAGTGGAAAGGAAAATGAACTCGTCGACTCAAACCTGCTCGTCATAACCGTCAAACCCAGATCAGCACTTCACTCCATGCTTTTCCACATGGCATTTACTCTTCCCGGCGACTTCACGCACTGTTGCGTCCTCCTGTGGACACAGAGGACGCAGCTCTGAGAGGTAGTAAGATCTGCTCTCAGTCACACAGCTCATAAGCAGCAGAAGCTCCCAAGCCCCACCGTCTGCCCCCGGTGGAGCCTGCCTTGCACTGCACATCTGCCTTGAACTATAGTGATGGGGGCTCTCACGCCACCTCCCTGCCTGCAGGCAATACGAGTGACTTGCTTTGTCTGAGCCCCCAGAACACAGCACAGAGTCTGTCAGTAAAGAAGGTTTCAGCAACCAGGCCCCAAGTACCTCTGAGCCCTTTCGAAACCACTCATGGAAAACCAGGGTTGAACTTGACACGTGAAGTCAGAACTCCCCGGTTCTTGCTGGCAACAAGACTTGGCAATGATCATATATGACCATATACAGGCTAGTCTGAATTGAATGGCAGGCCCTGGGCTTGGTGGGTTACAAAGTCTTTATAAAGCCTGGAGATCTTTGCAGGCTCATTTTACAGATGAGGAAAGGAGGTTCTGAGAGATTAAGTAAGTAGCTTGAGGCCTGGCCTCTAGCAAGTGGCAGACCCAGGACTTGAACCCCTGACCTGTTCTCCAGGCCTTGTCTCCTTCCGTGCTACCCAGCCTCCTCCTGGTGGTAGCAGGACTCTTGCATTGAGATGAGGAAAACTTTCCAAGTGGCCCATTATAATCCTCCTCTCTCCCACCACCCCCTCACCACCCCCATCCCACCCCAGCCTGTCATTCCCTCCCATCCTCCCTGCTTTCTTTCTGTCCCATTTTCTGGTATTCTGGACGCACTCAAATTCTCACAGCCTGTGCTCCAGAGAGCAGCCCCGGGCTGTACACACAGCCAGCTCTTCAAAGACACCGTTGTTCTGTCCCCTTGTGGGCAAATAAAAACAAAATGCTGCTGCTAAAAAAAAAAGGCCCATTTCACATTTCATTTTACTTGAGAAAATGGAAAATGCCAAAGAGATGCATTGAGGTCAAGCTCCCCTGGATTGTGGCTCAGAGCCTCGGCTGCGTGAACCAGCCACCTCCCTGTGCCCCGGCTGATTACTTACAGTCACTCATTTCTCTTCCCACGCCTGGCCTGAAGCACCCGTGAACACACACCCATGCATTCCTCCCCACCATCTTCATTTTACCCACACGCCAGTCACCAGAACACGAGAGACAAACAGAGGCCACTTGCTAAATCCTAGTACTTTGGCCCGGCCCCCAGACACCCATTTCTAATCACATCTTCAAGTCTTGAGTGAGGCACAGCCATAAAAGAAGAAGGGAAAACCATTCATTTATACTATACAGAGTTTCCATTTTTCTGAGGTTTTCACACAATCATCTTTTATGAGCTGTAGGAAAACCACATGTTTATACGGTTTCTCTCCCTAAGTCCCAAACATCTTAGTAACATTATCTTATGTGACACCTGGAGTTTGTGAAACACGGCCTGAACAGCCTCACATCACTTATGCAAACAGGTCTGAATTTTCCAGATGTATCCATTTCCCTCCAAGTTAGCAAAAAGCTTATTTGGAAGATATCGCCTCTCCCCCCTCCCCACCCCCCCATTCCCTTCCACCTGCGGGTAATGTTTGCTTCTAAAAAGACTCTCCATCTTTGCAGTCAGGTGGAAGCAATTTTTCTGCTTTGTTTTGCAATTCCTGATGAATATCTTTATCTACATCTCTGTTATAGAGTGGCAGAGCACTGCCTAAAATTAAATCATGAAGCCACTGCTTTTTTTCCCTCCTATCCATGCTCAGATCTGGGATCCACTTTTAACTCTTCCCACCTCTGCATCTCTTCTATTAGTTTAGCTATTAGGTCCCTCCACTTGTACTAAGTGGTTTTTAAAGCTCTTTTCATTTCCTATGGCCGCCATCCTGCTCAGACTTATAAATTCACAGATAGGCTGTTTCACTTGGCTCCCCCCGAGTCTCCTGTTTCAATTTATCTGGCACATTCTAGCCTCACAAATCTTCTTTCGATGCTCGTCACTGAAACACTACGTGTGGCTGCCCGTTATCTGTAACGGGAAGGCAAACTCAGCCTGCAGCCTGCTTTGGTTAAAGACAGCCACGCCCGTTTATTTACACACTGTGGCTGCTTCTGTAATACGACAGCAGAATTCAAAGCCTCAAATACAGTATTTACCATCCAGTGTCTGTTATAAAGTTTGCCGACCCCTGATGGATGGAATAAAATCTGTGTCCCCCAGCCCGGCACACAGGACTCTGACCTGGCATCCTCCAGCTTTCCGGCCTCGCCTGTGTGTCCATCTTCCCCAACCCCGGGCAGCAACTCCCATAAATGGTTGGCGCCTTCAACAGCCTGTTTCATGCCTCTACGGCTATTCATGCGTTCCCTCTGCCAGGAGTCCTCTTCCACGTGCCCCAACTTCTGGCAAATACGAACCAGTCATCCGAAATTCAGCTCAAGGCAGAGCTCTTCAGTGATGCCATATCTGCTCCACAACCCACCTCTGTCCCTCCTTCCCCATGAATTCAGTGCTGCTATCTTTGTGCCCCACCGACCTCTTACAAATGTTTCCCACAACATCTGCTTGTATATGTGTTGCCCCCTCTTTAGTCCGAAAGTCCCTGGAGAGCAAGTGCTGTGTCTTAATCAATTTTTTAATTCCCAGAGCCTGGTGTTGTGTCTAGAATATAGTATTCAGTACACGTTGAATGAATGAATGAATGAATGAAACATCAACCCCTAATCCCCCATCTTGTTGCTTCTCGCCATACATACTCTCTGCCTGGGCACTGACCTGCTTCACTGATTCCGGTTCTAAGCTTGTCTACTCCCTTCTGGGCTCTAGAGTCTTCTCCAGGGACAGCCCCTGCCTGCTCCTCCCACACTCATGTCCTTGACATCCCAGGTCAGGGTGGCTCTCAGTGACCCTCACCTCCTGACCTGCCGTGTGCCTTTATTGGGCATCTCTTGCCCGACTGGTGTGTACAGGTGCCGTGACTGAGGAGTCCTGAATCAGAATCCGGGCTCTGTCATTCTCTAGCTGGGTCACCCTTAGGCAAGTCAGTGGCTGAACTCTGGTTTCCTAGTCTGCAAAATGCAAGCGATTAAATGTCCTTCACTGGCTGATGTGGTGACCCTAATACACACACATTTATTCATTCAACAAATATTTATGGATTATTCATTATGTGCCAGGCAGTGAACAAGACAAAAAAGAGAGCAAACCCAATCCCTGCCCTTCTGGGGCTTACTTTCTTACTGAGGAGACAGGCCATAAACGAGACAAATTCGGTACTTAGAAGGTGAGAGGTGCTTGGGGACTGATAAATCAGCGATGGGTAGGGATTATGATATTATTAGATGACAATTTATTGAGAGGGTCTTTCCTTCTGAATCTGAACGTTTCTTTCTTATAACTCTTAGGATTCCCCCAGGTGATGCTTTATAATGTTAGCCAGTGGGGGGTAAGCATTTAATACAAGTACTAGTTAGATGAAAAAAGGAAAGAATGAGGGCTTCCCTGGTGGCGCAGTGGTTAAGAATCCACCTGCCAATGCAGGGGACACGGGTTTGAGCCCCGGTCCGGGAAGATCCCACATGCCGCGGAGTAACTAAGCCCGTGAGCCACAACTACTGAAGCCTGCATGCCTAGAGCCTGTGCTCCGTAGCAAGTGAAGCCACCGCAATGAGAAGCCCTCGCACCCACTCACTGCAACTAGAGAAAGCCCGCATGCAGCAATGAAGACTCAGTGCAGCCAAAAAATAAGTAAATAAATAAATAAAATAAACCTATTGAAAAAAGAAAAAAGGAAAGAATGAGGGAAGGAAGAAACCTGCCCTTCATCATTCCTCAGCAAATACTTCCTGAACGCTTCTGACAGCAGCCAGGAGGGCCATCCACATTCGAAGTGTTCTTTCAGGAGGATTAATTCGGTAGTACATTGTATGAGGTGGATCAGTGAGAGAGAAGCTGATTTTGGAGAAACCAGAAGTTAGGAGGCACACCCAAAACATCTGGGCTCACCCAGGCATGCAGCTGTGGGACTCAGAGAAGGACTCTGAGATTGCCTGTCGACTGAAAAAATGGCACAACCCAAAAGTTGAGAATTATGTTTTATTCAGTGGACATTCTGAGGACTTCAAGCCCAGGAGACATCCTCTCAGATAGCTCTGAGGCACTGCTCTGAAGAAGTAAGGGAGGAGCCGGGATATATAGGAGTTTTTGCAACAAAGACCAGGTAGTCAGAATTTCAAAAGGTTACTGTTAAAGGAAACCAGACACCTCAAGTTAAGGAATTTAGTGCTTTTCTACGTATGGGAAGATGCAAGAGTCTGGGCTCATTGAAATCATTCCTTTGACATGCACCTCAGCTATCTGGGTCTAGTACCCTGTGTTCTCCTATCCTGAGTCTTCTCAGGGTGCACCGTCAGGAGTCGCTGCAGTGGCTGATGGCTTGATGGCAGGCATCCTGTTTCTTTTGTTCTTCTTATTTTATTTTTAGATACTAATGGATGTATTATTTTTGTCTGTTTTTTAAAAAAATTTTATTTTATATTCGAGTAGAGTTGCTTTACAATGTTGTGTTAGTCTCAGGTATATGGACATCCTGTTTCTGTCCTGAGTTCCCACGGGGCTCAACCACAGGGCAGCTGTAATGTGATGGCTTGATGGCCGCAACATCCTTTGTTTACTGACATTTTTTTCCACTCAGAGAATTTCATAGGAAAATTTGGGGACTAAATCCAAGGTCCTTCAGAATGGAGATGGGGACTTTCCTAATCTTCACTCCACACCATAGTTATAAGGAGGATTCTGGACATGGCAGGTGGTGGGAGATGTTTTGTAAAAAGAGGGAGGGACATTTCTCCTGTCTACCCCATCCCTTTCTATACTCACACCCAGGCCCTTCTCCAGGGTGCGTCTGACCCTACCACTTGAATCCATCCCTCATCCACTAGTGTATTACATGAACTGTAGTGCCCAGAACCCAGTCTGACCCTGCCCCTTCATCTCCTCCAAAAGTAATTACTCCTGAGTGTGAGGCCCAGGCCCTTTAATCCTCCAGGACTCACACAAAACAGGAGAGAAGAGGCACATATATGAATCAAGGGGACATGACATATTGAGGCCACTCCATAAAGTGGAAAGAACCAGACAGACCCAAGGTCAGATCCCAGCTCTGAGATTTCCACCTCTGTGACCTTGGGCAAGGCTTTTCTCAATTTTATGATATAAAGTATTAAAAGATAATTTTTTAAGTTGAAATCATGACTCATATGAACATCAAATGAATACACACCAAAGAATTTAACTCATTAGTTAATGAGGGAACCAGTAAGATACGACAACCCATTGAGGGGAGAATTCAAAGAACACACATACATGGGCAATCGGGAATACTGAAATAAATTTACAAATATCTGCAAAACCGGTCAATAACCATTGGGTAATAATGAGCTGCATCTCCACCAAACACACTTCATTTGCATCTCCAAGGACAGGAATCATTTCATTAGTATCAGTTTTCTAGAATTTGCACAGTTGTAAATGGCTCAAAGACAATGAAATGCACAGGCCCCAACAGAATCAGATAATCTGGCAGGTTTCGCTCAAGAGAACACTGAACAGTTTCCAAAGTCTTTCACAAAATTTCCTAACGGAAATATGCGTGGTCTGGGACTTCCCTCGCGGTCCAGTGGTTGAGACTCTGCGCTCCCAGTGCAGGAGGCGTGGGTTCCATCCCTGGTCTAAGTTCCATCCCTGGAACTAAGATCCCACATGGCACAAGGCAAAGCCTTAAAAAAAAAAAAGACAAAGAAATACTCAAGGTCTGAGGTGATATATTTAAACACCCAGCACAGTTCTTGGCACGTCATGGGCACTCAATATCTGAAAAGTCCCTTCCCGGTCTTTCAGTCTGAAAAAAAATCATAGGGAAAGATTTTCTTTGAGGAGAACGTTGCTAGAGAAATGTGTAAGAAGGGCTCTGGGGATCGGCAGTGAGAGTAGTCACATCTGGCCTGGAGAGTCTTCTTGGTAGAAGGAATCTAGTCACCTCAAATCCTACCTCTTTCCTTGGGTGCACTTATCCCGGAGAAAATTGCGGAGCCACGATGGCCAGGTCACGTTTCTCTGACATTTTACGACGTATTAGCTACGGCCGTGCTAGTGTCTCATTCACTACCCACAACCCAGTGGGTGGACTATCTAGTGTAGTAATCATTCCCATTTTACAGAAGAAAGAGGTTCAGAGAGACTAAATAACTTGACTAAGGTCACACAGCTTGCAAGTGGCAGAGCCAGTAGTGAACAGAATCCCATGTTTCAGAAGACTTGGAGAAAAGATTGACATCCAAGACCCTCACCTCTCCTCAAGGCCAGAGTTTATTCCTCGTGCTCTGTGCTTCTAGAACATTATGAACAAAACTCAGTTTTTCTTGAACTGACAGGTTTAAGGAAGTAATAAGTTTTATATCGCAGATTCTTAATCTATTACAGTGATTTCATCAGCCTGTGAAATAATTCTCTATATGATGTAAGTTGCGTAGCTCCCCCTGCAAACCCAACCCACAAGCATTCCCATGGATTCTGGGAGCCCCAGGGTTCAGTGGCCCCAGGATACACAGGGGCGGTCCCAGGGGTAACTCCATGGGGGAGCTGTTTGCTGGGTGCCTGAGGAACACTGCTCCTGCCCTTCAGACAGGCTCCCACCCCCAGCCCTTTCCCCTCTCTCCCACCCCAGACTCTCAGAGTCCTCCTCCTGCAGGGCCCCTGGCTGTGACTTTCCCTCCATCCTTTGAGTCTAGATGCTCTGCTCAAACTTCCCACAGAAACATCCTAACAGGTGTCTCTGCTTCACCCCTTGCCTCCCTTTAATCACACACTGTTAATGTGTAAGTCAGATCACGCCACTTGTCTGCTCAGAAAAATCTAATGGCTTCCTGTTACATACGGAATTTTCTGGAACCGATTATACAAGGCAATTTAGTGCTCAGGCTGAGCATTAGGGAGTGCCTTTGGGATCGACAACTCTGGGGAAGGAAGAGAGCAAGACGGAGTAGAAGGGGAAGTTAAGTTGCCATGCAGCTTCAACCAACGACAACTGCAGCCCATGAGGATTGTGGACAGCTCCCTTCAGGGATTTTCCATGTTTCTCTAGCATCCCCCAGCCACTTCCATCTCTACAATCATAGGAACAGAAGACACAGACCCGAGGGCTTTCCCTCTTCTGATCCCTTCCTTCTCATTATCCCGGGGCTATGTCACACCACCAGACAGGACAATATGGCCGTTGTCTCACTAATTCTCTGATTTCATGTCTCCATGTCAATTAAATGTTTTTATATTCCTATCCCACAGCTTGAGGAATAATATTAGTTTAATGTATTAAGAGGAAAGTAGTTAAATATTTGTTCTTGGGTAATTGTATATGAATTGCATGACAATTGAGCTGGTGATGTCATTAGTGAATCTTAATTGGAGGCCCTTTTACAATCAATGTGTAATTTACTGACAACTGTTTCGGCTTAAGAGCAAATTAAATGCTTGTCATCGGCCTTCCACACCCATTACGTGCAGAGTCAGCCCACTTTCTGGCTGGCTGCAGGGAACTCTTCTCTGCGGTCAGTTGGCCGTGTGATCTCTAGGAAGTCCTGTACCCTATGGTTTTATTATCTGCAGATTGGGAACCTTGGAAAGAACAGTACTGATGGGTAACGTGTATTGAGCACCTCCAGTGAGTTGGATACTCAACTCACAAGCACCCGTGGTAACTCATTATATGTGTTCTAAGCACATGTGTTAACTCGTATGTGGGTAACTCATTTAGTCCCAACAACAACCCTATACCTAGATGCTGTTTTTGTTATCTTCATTTTATAGAAAAGGAAACCAAAACACAGTGGAACTTGCCCAAGGAGGAGAGAAAAGGGACGTGGTGCCAGAGCCCATCCTGTTGCCAGGTAAGGCTACTACCTCTCGTGACAATTTCTAGCTTCTCTTCTAGCTCAAAGGGTCTACATGCCCCAGTCCTCCAGACACCCAGATCCTTCCATCCCATTGTCATTATTTATCCCTCCCTGGCACAGAAACGTTTGAATAGTTGAATCCTTGGCTTTGACCTTTTCTGATCTGTTGCCAGCACCAGTGTTGTCCAGCTCCCATAGCCTCCCTCCATCAGTCACGATGGGCTAGAGGATGCTGCGGTAACAGCCCCAAATCGAAGTGGCTTTTACAACAGCAGAGGTTTATTTCTCACTCACGTTCCATGTTCACGTTCAGTGTGGGAATTGTCAGCAAATGTTTTGCCCTGTTTTCTGGACTTGCAGCTGTCCACTTATGGCTCATCGTAAACACCTGCGGTCCAGAAAACAGAGTGACGTGTTTCCTTACAATTTCCAGCATCTCCCTACATGATACCTCACTCTCCTCTCCTGGGCTTCTTCCTTCTTTGCCTCCTCCTTGCCCCCAAATTCCTGGCTTCATTCTGCCAGGGCCCTACATAATTAAGGCTGAGAAAAATCCCGTCAGTTCTTTCTTTATCTTGTAATGGTCACAGTGGTTCCTATCCCCTTGGGAGCAGACTCTGGGCTATCAGAGATTTCAGAGGGGAGCATCTGTCAGGATGATAAATGCTTCTCCCTCGATGATAATGATGATAAGCTCGATCCACAGCAATGGATGCATCACTTCCCCCTCCCTTCCTACCAACCGGAGTGTGGATGGGAAGGAATAAAGCATAAAGAGAATGAAGCGGTCAGAGACCCCCACCTGCTGTTTCTCAGCTATTCCCTTCAATCCTAACCCCAGTCATGAATCATGTTCCTCCTTTCCTCTTAACTTCTTTCTCTTAAATTCAATATGATGCCCCCTTCCTACTCCCTTTCATCTTTATTTTGACCTCCTTATACTCACCCCTCATTCTCTCAGTTCCCTTTGTTCTATTCCCCATAGTGCCCTTCAACCGTCTGCGTTATTTTCTCCCTGTGTCCCTTTCCCTATGATTAATAGGGATGATTCTGAGTGGCAGGAGACAGAGTTCCTGCCCCAGCTTAGCCCCTAATTTGCAGCATATGATGCTGACAAAGGCACCAGGGGCAATTTTAGAGTCTGTCTCGCCCATTGCTTTATCTCAGCACCCAGCCTGGCACATAGTAGGTACTCAATCATTGTTTCTAGGATAAATGAATAGCTGAATGAATGGCTAAATGATGTTTCCTCTAAAAGGCTCTCCAAGGACCCTCTCAGCTCTGAGGTTCCATCATTCTATGTGATTCTCTGAAATTCCCACTTCCAGGCTGTCTTTTGGGACTGACAGGACAGAGAAACCAACTCAAGTAGCAGCAAATGTGC